TTTTTTTTTTTTTTTTTTTTTTTTTTGTGTCACGCGTTTGCATACATTTTAGACCTAATTTAATATTCAGCGTTCATAAAAAAGGGTATAGAGTTGTGCATTATAAAGACTCAAACTCAAGTCCAACTTGCGATCAAGAGGATTATTGTTTCTGCCATATTAAAATTGTAAGCGTGTACCAAACTAACAATAAAGAAAACAATTAACTTTATACCGTGTTCTTGAAATAAGAAGTTTTCTCGAACATTTTAAGTGCTAACGAATTTTTGAAGCTATACACATTCAAAATTGCACTGAATTAAAAAGATATACAAAAATTTGTATCCAAAATTGTAAAACGGCAAGCCATTTTTTGGTCAGAACTCAATCACAAAGCAAGGAGTTTGATAGCAATGACCCAAACACTAATTTAGAGATGTAGATCTTCCAAAATCAAGCCACACAAAATATCTATTTTTTCTCTTTATGATCTTGCATTTATAAGCCATTAAAACAGTAACTTTTCATATGATTTTTTCAACTCCTCAATCCAAAAACTATTCCATGCAAATTGGGTCGGGTTAACCCACATGGACGACCCGTTTTAACCAACAAAAATAAATATGAGCTTGCATTTATTAGCCGTTCAAACAGCTTGTATCAGTATGGATCAGTAATTTCCAATCATATTTGTGTAATTTCAGGTTCAATTCTCTGTTATTTAAATATTCTTGGATGTGCTGCATCTACCTTCTTAACTCACCGCCAAAAAACTCCAATTGCCTTAACTATAAGAATCCTTATCTCCCCATACTTGTCCATCAAAACATTTCGACTTCTTCATAGCTCTTCGCTCTTACTTTTAGGTTCGAAAGAATGGGTTCCAATGCTCGTTGTGGAGTACTCTCTTTCCTTTTCATGCTCAGCATTGTGTTCTCTACAGCGGGATATGCTTTTGCAGGCCGCGATATCCCCAAGGACTCGAAAGTTGAAGATAAAAAGCAGCCTCAAACGTTCGGCCATGATGGCACGGTGCTGATTCCAGGTTTAGGCCGCTACATGGTCCCTAGGACAGGCACCATAGTCAATCCGTTTACCTACAATCCTATCACTGGTACAAATGGAGGAAATGGTTTATCTATCCCCAATTTTGGTGGTTCGACCGGTGGCAGCAATATTCCTGGTGGAGACGACACATTCGTGCCTAATCCCGGGGTGGAGGTGCCGAATCCGGTTGGTGGCACCACTCCTACACCATCTGGCCCTTGAATTTGTTCGTATTCCACGGTTTTCAAAAAATAAACATGGTGCTTCCCTTCTATCCTTGTGATGGAAATTCTACCGCAATGTTATTGTTACCATCTTTAATTCTGGAATTGTCACTATGTAACATGATCGTGGATATTAGAATATAATACCACGAGGCCATTTTTGGATTTGGTATAAATATCGATGGGAAAATTTACCCCAAAAGTCCTCAAGCTACACAGATTTTACGTTAATCCAGAATTAAACAATAACATGATCTTTAATTTTTTGCATAGGGTTAAAAATTAAACAGATTATTGTTTACTATGATCTTTATACTACCCCAACCCCTTTTGAATATCACATTCGGTTGGAGTTTCAACCTAAGATAACTCTGAAACAAGAAGATTTGGTCGATTTATTAATGGAAACTCACATGATACTGATGGCTTCTTTAAGTAATGAAGTTTGATTGACTCCATCTACAAACACAGTTTTGAAGGATCTTGTGATTACAAATTTACAACTAAGATACAATCTTATACTCAAAGGAAATCCTTAGTTGTTTCATTGGCGAATGCAATTTGACAAGAGAATATATAAATCAAGTTTGGAATTGGGTTAGGTTTACAATTATGCTACAGATACAGGTTCAAAAACAAGTTCAAACAAATGTAGGACACATGTCGACGCGCGATTGGACAGTATGAAAAATTAAAACAAAAAATACAAATCATTTGCTATCAAATCAATCTGTAATTTTTTATTTTTTATTTTAACTAAATTTGGCTAGGTGGCTTTATTCATAGGATATCCCATATCGGCTCGCCATGGAATAATTCAATTTCAAGAAAGTTTATCGAGATGATTAGACAGTTGGAACAGAGATTTGGACTCCAGTTGACTCCACAAACAATTTAAATAATTTCAAAACTATTAATTGGACAGAGATCTGTGTAATTTATTGTAGCATAATAATTAGGTTACTTCTTAGTTGACGCCACAAAAAGTCCACTATAATTGTAATTCTTAAATCCACGTTTTCAAATATTTTAAAGTTTTCTCTAGGTAACAAAACTTTAATAAAAATTACACCAATTTGGAAATCTTTTGAAGATTTCTGAAGGTTTTCAAAGTGTTTAAACTTCAAATTAATCTAGATTTCAACATTTGAGGGTCGTTGATAGAAAAATCAAAATGAGCTACACATGAAGATCATGTTAAACATATATTTTTCCATCTCCAATTCACAACTAAATAAGCTTTTAGAATGGGTGATTATAAAATTTTCAGATTGGTAATTTATTATTGTTCTAATTAAGCTTTTAATCTTATTTGAAAATTTTAGAGTACTTTACTAATGTTGAAAATAGTCTCGCAATACCTTGAAAATATTACACTGATTATATACCTATGAGGCATACTCATCGAAAAGAACTTCCAAACTCGATTAATTGTAGTTTTCTGACTCCAAATAATCTGGTCTAGACGGCTAAGGAACAATTGGAAGTGTACAGAGTTATACTTGATCGAATGTATATGTGTATCAAAGAACTTCACACAGGTAGAATATAGTCTAAAATTAATTGGTGAATATTGTAGCTTCGATTTGTTACAAGTGATAGATTACGGAGATGAAAGTCCTAGATCTTGCCGCTCATCTAAAATTTTAAGGTAAAAAAAAAAAAATATTGGTGGGACTTCCATTTAGTTTAAGCCTCCTTTCCTATCGGAATGGCAAGAGCTACCTTGGTAACATGAAGAGTACCTGCATGGCCCACGTAGGCAATAATGGCTAAAAGATGAAATTTCATAATAAATAAAAAGCAAATAATGTATTAAAAAAAAAAAAAAATTGCCATGCACATGGTGGGGTTACCGTATTAATTTTAAGTGTCTGCATGAAACATTTGGTCTTCAAAATTGAAACTATTAAAGTGTGTTGTAATTGCAAAAATCATGTTTTTCATTTGAAAATAAATCCTAGAAAGTATTAAATCTAATTCAGACAATCTGACATATTTTCGAAGACTTCGGTTTATTGTTTTCTACTGCATATTCTTGTTTTGAGTTGAAGCATAGTAAATTTCATTATCGGTCACAAAACTTTTAAAATGAAATTTCAATTAGTTCATTAAATTTTAATTGTCTCAATACTATCATTAAAACTTCAATTACGTTTCAAACTTCACCGTTTTATCTCAGTTCATCACTATCATCTCCTAAACTGACAAAAAATATTAGAAAGTTACAATAATGTCAATATATTAAAATGTTAAAATGCATGCCCTTTTGTTTATACTTTTATAGAATGACATAATGATAAATTGGTATGCTATGCAAAGATTATTAATCAGGAATAGCTCAACTAAGATTTTATTGAAAATTTATTGGGAAAAATATCAGCTGCTATTGCAAACCTTTTTATTTTTTGTAGACTTTACCTCAACTTTCAGTTTGTGTCACCATAGGTCCCAATCCCAGATGCAGTCCAAAGTAGCAGCAGCTCGTTGACCTCAAAATGTGAAAAAGGCAAATCTTGACCAATTTAAACAGGGACATCTTCGTCCAAATCTATTCCCCCCTTTTAAAAATCATTTGATCAGTTATAGCATCACTCCCTCTCCATTCTCTTTCACGGTATGAACTCGAACATTCATCATCTACAATGTCAATCGAAAATAGCCAACAATCTGATACGAGGCCATCTCCCTGAAACTGTATACGTCAAGTTATTAAATTTGTTCATACATTTTGGAGATCATAACAAAGACGATGGATAGCCTCAGTCTGAAAGTACATATGGTACACCAATCTACACCAGTAGTTGAAGGTTATGGGAAAAATCACACTATTGTTCAGTATATCACAAAGATTGGGAGTACATTCCAGAATCAGCAAGCCTCAAAGAAAAATCTGGAAAATCAGGCTGGGTAGATAGCAATTGCATTGTCCAGCTGAACATAGGGTACATACACTTCCAAACTACACAAAAAAGAACCCATGAGGATGATGTGATCAACACGCCATCAATCGAGTTTATAATACAAATATGTTATGTCTCGCACAATCTACCAGTTCATAATTAATTTGACCATATGTACTCCTAGGAGCAGCCACTTGATGAATTATAGTGTAAAATGATAGGCCAGACTTTCGTTTTCACTGTATATAAGCACATAGATAGGTATACATATGATTTTTTTCCTTCTACATGACTCTATTTTCACTCTTTTTTATTAGATTTTTCTAATATTTAGCTCACTTGTCGGCAGCTATTTCCTTTAGTCATTGATAGTGTAAACGACATGTCAAATACCGATTTTAATCTATTATAACTGCCATATGAGGCCATTTTTTCCTACACTTTCACCACATTCTTCCATGACCGATGCAATACCATTTTTTAGATGAATAATTGGGATTGATTTGGCTTATGATTCCTGCCATGGTTCTCCTTGTTAGTAAAAAGCACTCCACAAAATTGTTTACATGCACAGAATCAACAGCTATTTAAGTAGCTTCTAACATTAGTTTAACCACTTCCAAATTATCATTTCAAATGATCTTGAAATTGTGTTATATGGTTAATGTTTCAAACAATCTACTATTCATAATTGTATCTCCTATTCATAATTTATGAAACATAAATAATTTCAATTAGTCGGCTAAGCCCAACTCACAAAAATACATATAAAGTAAGAAAACTTTAAACATTTTCTTTCAATTTTTCAATTTTTTTAAACATATCACACAAACAAGCAAATAAAACTAACTAATCTACGCCTCCAAACTTAAAATACACATTATCCTCAATGTGTGTACAAAATATGCTTAACGAAGGGTTAGCAATACTCGTGTATATAATGTTTTTCATTTAGTACTTGTTCCTTTATCTTCTTTTAATATCCTTTCCTACTCGTTTTGTAAAATGTTTCCATTTTGCTTGAAAATGAAAAAGAAGAATAATTTCCAATATGAGTACATGCGAGTTTATGCTAATTTAATTTGGAATGATGAATATAAACTAAATATAACCTAAAAAAATAACAACAACAAGAAGAAGAATTCTTTTTTTTTTTTTTTT